CCCCAAAACCCCAAAACCCCAAAACCCCAAAACCCCAAAACCCCAAAACCCCATAAGAAAACTTCAGAATTGAAACCTCTATGAAATCTATTTATATCTCTCCTGCTTCTTCACTCTCACAGCATGATATCGGAGTGGCTTCTTGAGCCTGAATTTCGGAATAAGTCCTTTCTTCTTTACTCGCTTCATATTATTTATTTTTATCAAAGGACTTGTGTCTAGTGACTATAAGTAGAGTTAAGAGAAGTTTTAAAGCATAAAAGGGTATTTCTCAGATATCTTATGCGGATAAGAACTATTCTAAAGAAAAATATCCAATTTAGCTTCTAGAAATGAAGAATTCAAGTGAGTGGGTGCTTACCTTGAGTTTTCAGAACTTTCCTCCGGAGGAATCCTCAAAGAAGATATTTGATTTCCTTCGCTTTAGGGACTTATTTTTGAAACTTTAACGTCTCCCGGGACGGATTATGACTAAAGGACTTCTGGTGCAATCCTATCGTATGGTTATTAAATATCGGAAGTCTCTTTGAATGTGGTAAAATAGAGTTACTTGCACCTTTATTAAGGTAGCTATTTAGACTCCGATTAAGATCATGGGTAGGAAGATTCGCTCGATCCCCATAGACCCAAGACTCATTGATCTTTTCACAGTCCTTAGGAAGTAACCTCCTGATCTCAGGAAGGGTAGCACGACTATCCTCGTATTCATCATGTGTGCCAGTTGTGACATTAACGCCGATGTTAATAATAGAGTTATTGATGCTATCATGTCTGCTACGAAACTTCGTTTTAAAGGAAGCCTTTTCATTCGTACCTTCCTTTTTATTTCTTCAAGACTTGTAGAATAGTGTCAAATTTGCTCTCGATTGGCTTTGAAGAGCCAATCGCAACGCTAGTTCTGTTCTTTGAGTAATCCTCAGTGTGGAACATTGGCTTGTAAGTCTCATGAACATCCTCGAACTATGTCAGGTTAGCCTGGAGAGATGGTGATAAGTATATTGATACTTACATCTAGTTTCGACAAGTTCACATCAGAAAATGTGTTCTTTATAATAGAAGCACTATCGATGGTAACATGTCTCTGAGAGAGCTTGGTCAGGACAGACTCTCGAATGTTCTTACCCATACTAATATTATCATGAAGTTCCATCATCTATCTGATTTTATTTAATGTTCTCAATTGTTATACTTTTTGGGGTTTTGGGGTTTTGGGGTTTTGGGGTTTTGGGG